TAGGCTAAGAGTGACTACTACAGATATTTTCTTCGAGTCAGTGGTGGAGCAACTTATTACGAAAGAGGAATGAAGAGTTAGACAAAATGAATCCAACTTTAATTCTTATTACGGTAATCTTTTGCAAAGGTTTCTGTAGCTTTATGCGTTGCGCCTATGAAATGATTGAATGTTTCTGTTCGGTTGCAAAACCGTATTGTAGAAAGATAGTTTTGTTTTTCAAAAAACCAAAACCTCACCTTAATCTTAAAACCTTCGCTAAAATAACATGTTATTGGGGTCCATAGACTCATCCAAGTGAAGTCTTATAGTTCCTTCCGGATATTTATGATGTATATACTGCAAATATTCTTCGTTTTTACCGTGGATAACCTGCAAAAGAGTGGAAATAACAAAAGGATGGCGCCTTTTGCTTTTTGGATACTGCTGGTGTCGCTGGTTTATGCTACATTTTAAGCTACACCGATTAGATATCTATGCTACCTATTGGATGTGTTTGGTTCACGAAGTAACTGGCTATGTGTTATGTTCAGTGTCTTTGTGGACGGTGATGGCCATGAGCGTGGACCGACTTCCCGTCATATTGTTGGGACTAAGTTACAAAGCGATTGCAACTTTGAGGCGCATTATACCATTTTAGCTATCGTCTGGATGTTATGTATAGTCTCTGGTTTATGTTTGGATGCAAATTACCGTTGAACCTTTCAGTGCAGCTTCATACTGATGCCATCCCGCTTGGTAATCCCAATCGCCTCGTACACAATGATTCTTCTAGCTCTCGATCATCATTAGGTTCAATTACAAGATCATGTTTGACAAAAGCCGAACAAAACAAATGCACTGAACGTGCGTGATACAGAAAGGCAGTGTACAGTGCACTGAGGGTGAAGTTTGCTTTAGATGTCTGCTATGTACCAAACTTAACAGCGGAAATTGTGATATCGTTTAGTTTGAACCGATTATCGAATTTCATCACAATCATCATAGTGATTCGTCCAAATGACGAATGTTTTAGTTTTCTTTAACTCCACTTTAAACCCGTTTCTTCACCCTCAGAAGATCAAAGATATAAGACAAGCAGTAAAGTAGAGAATCAGATAAGCAATTTGCCATGCATAGGTTTCGACCTATTTCGACGTTTACATTTTCTGTTTCTTCCAAAGCTTTTTAACAATTATGGTTGTTAGGACAGTGGAGAGGATATACCATATGTTAAAAGAGTTAGTAAAACTATGAAGAGCTACTTCTATTTTGTATATCGCATTCAAGTTATCTTAAGAACAACTGAAATCTAAAAAACTCTTACTTTGGTAACTATATCACAAGAGTATCATATGCCGAATTCGCACACTTCTAATGAGGCAGTGAAGAGTCTTCTTTTCAAGAAGAATACGCTTACGATTTTGCTATTTAGTCCAAAATGGATTAGATATGTCACTTTGGCTCAGATATACGATTAAGTGTTAACGGATTGTCACAGGAGCCACAGGCTCAATTTGTAAATATGTAGACTTTTTTTTTTTGTTTGTTTTTTTGGTTTTTCACCTGTTTAAATATTTTGAAATCAACTCTTAAAAAGAAAGTCGATTATCACTATTTTCACATCTATCGCGTAAGATCAACCGCTTGCCAGAGAGCGAGTTGCAAATTACGGCAGAAGAAATGTTTGAAAAAAAAAAAAAAAACTCCAACATGCTTGATAAGTCTAGCTGTTTTTCAGTACGTTACCAGATTCTCTTAAGACCGCTTATCGAGTGCAAAATTGTAGTTCTCAGAGGGTTATCTACCGATTTCTTTGAGCAAGTAATTTTAAATCCACTTCTATGACCAAAATTCAAATAAACAAGAAGGCTTATGTTCTAAATAAGTCCAGCGAATTTTAAAAATGCTCCTTTATTTACTTTAACTTGGTGAGTCATGAACTAAGCCAAGCGAGCCAACTTAAAACTGACCTTTAAATAGAATATGATGAAATGATGTAGAATGGTCCAGGCTGTTTAGCATATCTCTATAAGCAGAGCTCATATTTAGTTGCTGTTGTTATTACTAGCCCTTTCCAGGCGTTCATTTCGTAAAACGAAACGAAATGCTACACGGCACGATAGTAGCGGTGGAGTGATGAAACGGGAAAGTTTTGGGTCGGGTCGGGTTAGGTCGGGTGAACGACGTTCTTTGCCTGACTCGACCCAAGCCTCACTCTTTTTTCGGTTCGCCCTGACTATCGCACCTTTCACTGTGCACTTCGTTTTACTAGCTGAACTGCTCGAACAGGCCGTCTTATTACTGGATAAGTTGTCAAAGAAAAAGCTCCGATGCAGAGTACAAGAAACTACAACATATATTTTTTCGAGTCAGTAGTGGAGCCACTTATAA